CTGGGGAATTCTGGGAGTTGAAGTCCACCCATCTTAAAGTTGCCAAGGTTGAGAAACACTCTTCTAGACTATGGTTTGTGTTAATCTGATTTATACCAGTCTTAAATTTCTCACTGTAGTAAGAGTCTTGATGTGGCCAAACAACCCATTTCCCAATAGATTTGCATTCTAGGATTTTTCAGTAATGGTGGAAAATATGTCTTGTGAATTCACTTTAGTTACCCTACACATATTGCAAGCTTTTCCTATTAAAGAAAGCTTTTTTAAAAACCAAAACAAAACTGACATCAAGGTATTGCCCAATCTCTGGGGACTAGTCAGAACCAAACAAATTCTACTGCTTTTATTTGGGGAGGGGAGCAAAGCGATTCAAAATAGAAAATGAAAAGTAAAATGCAAATTAAAGGGAGCCTCCTAACAGGTGTGAGCTGTGCAGATACAAGCCTTGAAAAAAGAAGCTGCATTTAGGAACTTGGCTGGGTGGTTTGAGGGGTGTGGGGTTTTGATTATTTTTGGCCGGAAAGGGGAGGAAGATTTGCATGGAAAGACTGGCTTTAAGCAAAAATGGGGGGGGGGGGGGGGGGGGGGGGAGGAAACAGCAGCCCAAGGAGCCCAGAAAAGAGATGGGAAAGAAGGAAATCCAAAGGCTGGTGGTGTTTTGTTGTTGGTCAGAAGCCAAAAGGGAAAAACCCATGCCCCCAGAAGCCAAACATGATTAAAATAATATTATTATTTATTAAACCTGCATGCCACCCAGCTCTCCAGGCAAAGCCCTGGGTTCCTTCTGCTGCCCTGGTCAGGGCTCCCTTTCTGTTGTAACAACTGAGAAGCACAATTGTTCTCCCCTGCCCCCAGGCAATGGGCGTATCCTTTGTGGAAAACGAGGCAGGGTGTTTGCCAAAGGAGCCGGATTTCGGACGCTTCTAGATTCTTAATTTCTCTAAGGAAGGGGGAGATTCTAAGGGTTGGGAGGAACTTTGGAGTCCAGCCCCCCCTCTCCTGTAGCACCCTCACTGAACATAGGGTGGGGAGGGGTCCCCAAGACTATCTAGTCTACCTTTCTTTCCAGAGGCAGCCCCCTCTTCAGCTCTTTGGGGCTGTAAATCGTTGGCTTCTACTTTGCCAGGAAAATGGCACTGCCCACACAGGAGCAGTGGGGGACTGCCAAGCGGCTGGCCTTGGGAGACTGTAAATACAGAGCTAGCAGCGAAAGATACAGAGGCCAGAGAGAGTGGGAAAAATAGTTTTTGCCAGAGGTTCGCAGTGTACAACTTCAAGCCTGGAAAAGCAGGTAGCTGATGTTTGGGGTGGGCTGATTCCTGAAGACCCCACCCTTGAATGTGCAGAATGGGGTCTTCAAAGGGGAGGGGAAATAGTTTGCAAAAGGTTGAATACAGGCTTCAGGCAAATGCAGGAGGGGTAATCATCAGAGAAGAGTAGTTGATTTAAGCCAGTGTTTTTCAAACTTGGCCACTTTAAGATGGGGGGACTTCAACTCCCAGAATTCCCCAGCCAGCATGGCTGGCTGGGGAATTCTGG